TCAATTGAAAGCCCGAGTTGTAGTTCTAATTTCCGCCACATTGTGATGAAAAATATTGTTCGTAACTCGTGAAAAAATGTTTTTTAGCTCGTGGGATTATATCACTCGCCTTCGGCTCGTGATATAAACCTCCCACTCGCCAAAAAACCCTTTTTTGTACTCGTTACGAAATATACTATTTTCTCCGCATATCCAAACGCCAGCGCTAACATCAGCGCCATCTACGAAACAATTCAAACTCCTAGCACAAACTCGCACTCACTCGCGCTGACCTTTAGCACAACTCCCAAAAAGATGTATGGCAAGAGATAATGAGATAAATGTTCTACCTGCACAATTCAATGAAAAATTTGAACATGCGGCAGCCCAGTCGCCGTCCCAGCAGCTGCTGGTCGGTAAAAGAATCCGGGGGAGGGGTTCGTGAACGGAGGGAAAGGCTCGAGTCAGGGCCAGAAGTGAGGGAACACATCAGAATGTAAGTGTGATTGTTAGTAACAAGACCAAGAGTTCAGTGCGGTCCGATGACTCGTGCAACTGGGTGTGTGTGTACTCGCGTTTGACAGTCGTTAGTGCCACGAGTCCGCCTGTTTTCGTTAATTTCTATCGTTTTTCTTGAGCGGAACGGCCTTGGTCATGGATTTAACAAACAACTGCAGTGCATCAGCACAATATTCGCTCGTACGTTCCCCGAGTTTTTTCACAAGTGTTTTTTTTAATGCTCTCAACACCTATTCATTGTCTCAGTCACTCGGTCAATCAGAAATAGCAACATACGGTGGCAGACACGCGCAGGAATTTGTGGGCGCGATGAATTACTATCACCTGTGGAGCCAATTCATCGTATATTGAATGCGTCAGTGTTGGAAGAACATTTACATTTTATGGAGGAATTCAAGTTTGATTGTGGGGAGAAAAGTCATGAAGTTTTAGATTTCACTTGAAATTTAAGGGAATTACGAATTTTTTAACACCAGACACACGAGAATTCCTCGACTTATTCGAGTGAATTTTTGAATATTTAAACATTCAAGAATCTATTTACTATTTACTTGAATGTTAGTGATTTCTAGTGATTTTCATTGAATAATTGCACTAAAGATTACTTCTTTCATTAAATTGTGAATTGGCAAACGCGAAATTGATGGGATGTGAAAAAAAATATTTAGAAAGTTCGTGAAGACAAAAGATGTTGACTGAATTGTGCAGCCTTTTAGGAACTTTCACTGATGTTTCGTATGGAGAAATTAATACACCGAGTCAAATCCCAGTATTTTTAGTAAATTTTTACAACAAAATTATTTTTTTCTAGAGTTCTGACGAAAATTTAGGCGCTACTTAAATATTTTTTTCTCTGCATTGTTTGGAAAATAGAAATTTAGAATTTTCAGTCACGCAATTCCGTAAAATTTCAGCGCAATTATTTATTTATTCTTCATATTATGGAAAAATAATTGTTTAAATCTAGCATGGAAAACCCAATTATCTTGAATTTCCACCCCGAATGAAAGATTTCATGAGCGATTTCATTTTCAATTGTCATTAAATTCACAAAATTGAGAATTCAAGTGCAACTATTGCTTAATTTTCAAAAAATTTCCACCAGTGTTTTCGTTAATTGTCCCAACGAAATTGTAATTTTGACAGAAATTCAGAGATGATTCAAAAACGTCTCCCTCCGTATTCTTCACAAAATTAATTTTATCTCAACGAAAAATTGTGGCGATCGTCATTGATAGCACGCTGGATGAATCGGTTGGATTTTTAAAAAGATAACGGTACACTCTGAGAAAAACCGGAGTGCATCGCTCACTGGTTGAATTCTCAGTCATAAAGAGACGCTGGAGTGAATAGTCAGCGCGTCGGAGCCGTTCGATTTCATTATTAATTATCGCTTCGAGCTCTAGTCAAACAAATGACCGAATTATCATTCTCACAGTTGTCTCTTCGTTCACTGTGACCTTCGTCGATTCCGTGAGTACATTGAAACCACACGTGGCATAGAATTCCTCCGAATTTAAAACTAATTTCGATATCGTTGAAAAGTGATAAGAATGGGCCAGAGGCAGAGAGACCATCGCGATAGTCGATTTGTTATTGATGGCAATCGTGAGGTTTGAATACTCGTGAGTGATTAATTCGATTACTGAAGCGTTTTGCGGTTTTGCGTGTCATTTATGCTCATGTATAATGAGAAATTCGTGGCTGCACACATCCGTCATGGCTATTTGATGAGACTGAACTCGGAAAACGCTGAATACAGATTTATTTGTTCGTTATCTCGTGTCCGATTAATCCCGCGCTGTGTATTGAGGGCGATAGAATTTTATGAAGATCGAAGTGCGATGAAGAGGATGACGCACATGAATTTTAAATTTCAATGAAAACTTCACGAGTTGTTTGAAATTTTTCTATTCACGAGGGCATCTTGCGCGCTCCGGGCGCTATAAGAGACTCATTAGGCCCTATTGTTTTCTTTGTATAAAAAATGCATTGATTCATTATTCAATTCAATAATTTATAAATTAATAATTCAATAATTCCAAATAAAGTTCATTAAATTCAAATGAACCGATAATTACACGAAAAAAAAGATGTCTTAAAAAAACAGAAAAGACTTAAAAAATACAACATAAAAACCCATCAACATTATCATAAATTTCCGTGAACTCCCTACAGTTTTCTTCTTCTAAATCGAGAAGAGATGAAGCAGTTGAGATGAGGTCACGTCCTATGCGGAAACACTTCAGACGCTAAATAGTTCATCAGTTAAAAGTCATGCGAATATTTCGTCACGCCACAGTTGAGTGTGGCGTGATGATAAAAAATTTAATAAAAAATTAAAATTAAATGAAATTTAATAAAAAATTAATTAATTTCTTTGTCCTAATTTTCGCAGGAATGCACTGAGTTCTAAGGGATTTCAATGGACAATGGCCACTGAATCACGATACGTTATTTACTCAGCACTCAGATGACGAATACTCGGGAAAAAATTGTACCTTGAAACCTCATCACAAACCACTGTTCATGATATTTTTCCTTTCATGCAAATGTGATACATATGCATGATTGGAAAACTGTGTCGGACGAATTTAAAAAATAGGGAGTTGTAGTTTTGATTACGATGGAGTGCTTGAGGAAGGTAGTTCCAAAGAGGTGAATACTGCCAAATAACGATTAATAAAATCATTTCCATCATTTGGTTGACTATTGATTGAAATGACAATTAAGAAATGCTCGGATAATTGAGTTAAAATATTTCAGGGGACAAAGACCAATAGATAGCGATCTGGAGAGCCCTCAGGAGCAAAAAGAAAGATGGAAAAGCGTGTACATAATCTATTTCACGATGTTTCTGATGTCCTTGGGGTTCAGCATAATTCTCACGGGGGTTTGGCCGTACTTGGATGGTGTAAGTATTTTAGAACAAATTTGGTCATCAACCGTCGGGTACCTGGCGCGAAAAAATTTGGTGGAAAACCCAGCGAATTTGTTCGACGATTCTATTGGATTTCTATTGAAATGGTCACTAGAAAAAAAACTGTAGAAAAAGTCGATAGAATTTGATTTTTCTGTAGAACTTATTGCTTATTATAAATTATTGTACAACTTAAGATTCACTGGAACGAGAATTTCAGAATTTATTTGAATTTTCAATGAAAGTGCCAAATTACACTGAACTTTTAATTCATTGAAAATTCAGGGACATCTTCAATGGGATTATCCTGATTTCTATTAATTTTCGTGGGACAATTAAACTAAAATTGACCATTTCAATTGATTTTTCCATAAAATTTTGAATTTCCAATGACGGAATTCCTTGAAATTTCATGGAGTGCACCGGAAATTTCAGAGAGATGAATCCCGAAATTACAGATTTCACTGAAAATTCAAAACTCCAAAATTCCAAACTCCTGATCACCCGAATGACGAGATTTCCTCAACTTGTTTGACTTCTCAATCAGAACATCTATGTTCAGTAGCAAATTACCCTGAATTTTCCTGATTTCTATTTTTTCAATAAAACAATTGATCTGAAATTCCGGTTTCCCTCAATTTTCCCGCAGAATTTTCAATTTTCAACGACGAAATTCCTCGAAATATCAATGAAACAATAAACAATTTAACAATAGTACCGAAAATATCAGTAAAAAATTTTTAACACTGAATGTGGGGATTTTCAGTTAGATCCAACAGCTGGAAAGAAATTTATGGGCTACGTTGTTGCAGCAAATCCACTTGGGCAAATGTTATTTTCACCGTTGGTCGGTTGGTGGGGAAATAAAAGAGGCTCTGTGCGATTACCATTGCTCGTAACTCTCGCACTTTTTGTTGCTTCCTCTGCTGTTTATAGTTCGCTACAGATCATTCCGGGATCACCAAAAGTGTGGATGATTGTGGCGAGGTTTGGGGTGGGCGTTAGTTCCGGTAAGTTATTACACAATACTCTCGAAAAAAAATGCACTCAATAAGAGGAAAATAATTGAATTGAATGAGCTTTTCACTTGATTTGCAGCGAATATTGCAGTCACGAGGTCGTATCTTTCGGCAGCGACAACAGTAGCTGAGAGAACTCAGGCTGTTTCTATGGTATCTCTTGCCCAGGTATGACTCATTGCAGTTGAATAAATAAACGGGTGAATAGTTAATGAACTTACGACTTTAATAAATAAAATGTGATACCACACACTGAGAGAAAAACAAACACGTTGTCAAACAAGTCTTGTTCGGACCAGCAAAATCGCTAGTTGAAAATTGCCAAAAAAGAATTTGTTTGGTTCGAATTTTAAAGTCTCAAACATGAATAATTGTTCTGCTTTCGACAGCAACGAAATATTTGGCTCAAGAGGCGGATAATTCACACCTGACGGTGCCTTTTCAGGATGAAAATATCTCATAGGAAAATTTATCAACAAATATTTTATCCCAAAGTTACAAGATTGCTATCATATCATTATTATTTTTTCATTTAAGGGTTCATTTATTGTCTGTGATTATTAGACAGCCGAAACGAAAAACTACTGTCCCTTGTTTCGCATAAAACAAAGATTTTTCGGGAGCAAAATACGTATGGGAGTATCAAATAACGAAGGAGTAGTGCTAGAAATGACATTTCTTGCGTCTACAGAGAATGCATTTTTTTTTTAACTACTAAATCTATTTTTGCGACAAAAATTTTTCATTCCGGCGCACTCTCTGCATGTTTGGCACAAAAAATCCTTTTTTGATAATTTTCAAAAAATATTTTCTTGGTACAAGTAAGACTTGTTTGAGAATTTTATCGTTTTTCTCTCAGTGTAGAAACCTTTTTTTTTCTCTGTGGACTATTAAACTTTATAAAAAAAATTGAACATGATTTTATTGCGTTAAAAGTCCCCGAGAAAAAACGAAAAATTTTGAAGTGTCCGAGATTTTATCAGTGCACATAGAAAATTCACGATAATTTTATTTTAAGCTGAAAAATGGACGATAAGACATTGAAAAAAATTCCTCGATTGGCCGTCTCTGCACGAATATTGAGACTAAAAATCTATTCTTCGATTCAATTCAGGTATTGGGATTCGTAGTTGGACCTGCACTTCAAGCTGCAGTTACCCCACTGGGTAATGAAGGTTTCTCGGTGCTGGGATTACCTATGAACATGTACACGGCAGCCGGGTGGATAAATGTATTCCTGGGGATAATCAATTTTGTTCTATTCCTACCGCGATTTTTCAAAGAGCGGAAAATCGCCGCGCGAGAGGCCATGAAGGACCAAGGAAAGGCGACTGGTAATAGAATAAAATATATTTTGGTTTGGGGGAATGGGAGAATTGGTATTCTTATCATCATTCGGATTTCCCTTGTTGATTGCAGAGAAAGAAGCGTGGAAGGCTATCAAGCCAGATTATTTGGGAGCTTGGAGTTTGATAGCCGCTTTTGGTATTCTAGTCTACAATTTTGTGTTATTAGAAACGTGAGTCATTGAAAATTCCCCTGAATTTTCACGATTTTTACTGAATAATTAAATTGAAATTTACGGGTTCTATTGATTTTTCCATAAAATGACCATTTTCGATTGCAAATTTCATTGAAATTACAGTGGAAATGGAAAAAAAAATTACAGTGGTATAGATTCCTGATATTTATCTATGAAAAATTTAATATAAAATTCTTTCTAACAAATTCGTTTAAATTTCTATTGAAATTCTATCAGGATTCTGTTGAAGAATTCTGAGAAACAAAAATACAGAGGAAAAAAATTGAAAAATTTACGCGTGCGAGTTTCTATGGAAAAATAAAAATCTATTGTTTTTTTTTTCTATACAATATTTTTTATGAACATTTCGTTTCAATTCCGTTTCATTCATGTAAAACTTATTACTTTTTTATTTACTCAATAATTAAATTGAAATTTACGGGTTCTATTGATTTTTCCATAAAATGACCATTTTCGATTGCAAATTTCATTGAAATTACAGTGGAAATGGAAAAAAAAATTACAGTGGTATAGATTCGTGATATTTATCTATGAAAAATTTAATATAAAATTCTTTCTAACAAATTCGTTTAAATTTCTATTGAAATTCTATCAGGATTCTGTTGAAGAATTCTGAGAAACAAAAATACAGAGGAAAAAAATTGAAAAATTTACGCGTGCGAGTTTCTATGGAAAAATAAAAATCTATTGTTTTTTTTCTATACAATATTTTTTATGAACATTTCTATGGAAAAAAACGCGGATGAATTCCGTTTCATTCATGTAAAACTTATTACTTTTTTATCAGGCTTGGAACACCTCTTATACTAGATAATTTTGGATGGTCCAAGAAAGAGGCAGTTAGTACCATGGGCCTGATGATGAGCGTTGGTGCAGTATTCGCATGTATATCATTCGTGCTGATAGGACCCTTGTGCAGGAGGTGAGAACGAAAGTTCGTCATTCAGACTATTATAAAATCTCTTTAAGGGGCTCAGAATGCCGCTAATTTTTCTAATAACTGAAGAAAAATTCAATAAAAATTACCCGAAGAAAAAACGTAAAAACGAAAAAACTAGCATTGCATGAGAGAAAATCTCACGCGCACCTAACGACGGGTTAAATAATTTCCAATTTTTAGGTTCGACGAACGAAGGGTCTTGATCTGGGGCGGATTCTTCTTGATGCTAGTGGGGAGAATAATCATGGTTCCATGGGGAAAAGAAACTCCAATAATTGCAGAACTAGATCGTAAGTATTTTCATGATGCCACTGCATTTTTTCTCTCGTTGAAAAACTCGAGAGAAAAGCTTTGGAAACTTGACCTGGGAAATTTCTAGGGGATGAATCTCAATGCTCATTCCAGAATAAGTTGTATAGAAAGACAAAACTCTGCCGATATTCTTCATTGAACACTTCTAGTTGAAAAAAAATTTGAATTTTGTTCACGACAATATTTAGACCGCATTGTTGCAAAAAATTCGCAAATTTTCCAGACAATTGGGAGGAAAAAAATCATGAAATTTCAAATTTTTGAAGAGCAGAGAGAGAATTCTCCGACTTACACGAATTTTCAATCAAAACATGAACGTTTAGTCCCAAGTTACGCTGAATTTTCAATTGATTGAAAATTTAAGAATGCATTCACCTGAATTTTCCTGATTTCTATTCATTTCCCCGGAAAAATTTAACTGCACTCGACAGTTTTCATTGATGATTCCATAACATATCGAATTATCAATTACAAAATTGTAGGAAGTTCCTGGAAATTTTCATCATATTATTGTTCCTCTGCAACATCATAGAATTTCATAATTAAATTCCGCAATTTTATGGAAAAAACAATGGAAACTGTAAATTTCAGTTCAAATATTCCACGAAAATCAACACAAATCAAGATTCAAATTTAATTAAGTAAATTCTTGAATTTTCAATCAATTGAAAATTCTGCGTCAATCGAATTGAATCATATTCACTCCAAAATTACTGACCAACTGCCAATGTCAATGTTTTTCCTAACACTGCACCGAAAATTGCAGTCAAAAATTTTTATCAGTGTATTTCTCCACATTGACCATCTTTTCATTCCCCTCAAGCAATTACCAACACAACAACTACTGTAAATGGCACTGAGGTAGTTGGCTGCCCAGTGACTCAAGAATGGTGTCGCTACACCCCCCTGATGACTCCCCTCCAATACATGATTGGCTACGGTTTCACAACCATCGGGTACCCCATAGGGGTGACACTGAGTCAAACGATATTCAGTAAAATTCTGGGACCGCGTCCACAGGGTCTGTGGATGGGAATGCTGACTGGGACCGGTTGTGCCTCTCGAGTCCTGGGTCCAGTGTTCGTTGGCCATGTCTACACGGTCTGGGGAACTTATCACACATTCGGAATAACAGGAGTAACATTAATTGTGGGGATGATCTGGCTCACCTGCGTTGACAAGCACTTAATTCCGATAGTGTCGGATGCTAAAGGAGAGGAGAATCGAAATGGAAATGTTGAGGTGGAAGTGCCACTTTTCGCGAAGCCGGAGGATCAGTCGAAGGAAATTGAAATGCAGGACTTGAATGGGAGCTCTGTGCGCGAGAAAGACTGATGTCACTGTCTATTTTAGTCAAATAATGGGATTAGAGTGATGAGGAACATGTACATAACTATTTTTGGAGAATTTTATAATGCGAATTGCGACAATATGAGAGCTATATTTTTGTAATTAATGGATAAGGGAGAGGTGAATAATCTTGCCGACGTGTGTAAAATATTTTTGGTTTTTTGTAACGATAGTGTTCCTTTTGATTATTTTTCCACTTTCTTTTCAAGATTCTGTTTTTATAAATCTAAAACAACAATGTTAATGTCAAATTAAAAAGGGCATTAGAATGATAATGAATTCTATTTTTATGGAATTTTCTTTTCCTGTCTTTTCGCTTTCGGCCAATCACAGGATCAAATTAAATTGGCATAAAGTATAATAATGAAGTTCGTAAAATGAACAGCTCAAAATAATACTCTAGGCAGAGAGCATCATTTATATTGCTTAGGTAAACAATAGGATTAGAGTGATGAGGAACATGTACATAACTATTTTTTGAGAATTTTAGGATGTTAATTGCGACAATATGAGAGCTATATTTTTGTAATTATTTGTAAGGGAGAGGTGAATAATCTTGCCGACGTGTGTAAACTACTTGTGAATAAACGAATAAGTAAATATGATGAACGTGAATGGTTTTTTGTAACGATATTTTTCCTTTTGATTGTTTTTCCACTTTCTTTTCATGATTCTGTTTTTCTAAATCTAAAACAACACTATTAATGTCAAATTAAAAATGGCATTAGAATGATAATGAATTCTATCGCGACGAGATGAGAGACGAATAATTTTGCTGGTGGGGGAAATACATAAAATGCTTGTGAATAAATACATGAGTAAGTATGATGAACATCAGCGGTCTTTTTTTTTCATAAAAACCAAAATTTTGCTTTTTTCAAATCTGAATGAAGCATGACGCTGTTTTCAAAAAATTGAGTACGCATTGAAGAATTGAATTTGATTTTTCATTTTGAATCGCTGAGAAAGGTTGGAAATCTGGAAGAAAATTAGAAAGGTGTCTCAAGAAGTTCTTCCTGTGGGCTTGTGGGTCATCCAGAAGAATTGTTCGTTTTCGTTCGATTATGCATCTTCATTTTTAGGTGGGATAACAGAACACAAACCCAATCTTGAATTTTTGGCTTAAACTACGCACAGAAAATTTTCCTTGACACATGGACACGACGAGTCTCACGTGCCGTCACAAATTCATCAAGTTCAAGGTTCTAAATTGAACATGTAAACAGACGTCACACAAGCACTCCCGAATTTTCGTATAAAACCGCTGGAATTCGTTATTTTCCCGTCCATCATCTTTGAAGGCTTCACATACACTCAGGGAAATGACGCGTTTGAATCGAATAAAAGTCTTTATTCGAAATTTTTCTGTTCATTTCAGAAATATTTTCGTTAAAAATCAATGAACTGATATTTGGTTTGATGGAAATGTTTACGTTTTATTGAATGAATAATTCATTCATTTCGAGCGAATTCTTCATTGGGATTAAATAAATCAATTGAATAAAAATTTATCTAATTTGTATTCAAAGGAATTTTGTCTTTGAAAATTCCAAATTTGATGAAAAAACTAATGGAAATGTGAATTTTAGTTCAATTATTCCATGAAAATTCAGAAAAACTTGATATTAAAAATTCATGCAGCGCCTTCTCGTCTTGAAAATTAGAGATTGCATTGAATTTTCACTGGAGTCTCAAATTTCATGATTTGTTTCCCCCAAATAAAATTTAATGACACTCCCTCAGTTGAAAATGGCCCGTCAACTGGCTGAATCCAATGACAATAATAAATTTAAATTCAATCGCCAACTTGAAATTTTGAAGATCCAAAGGAGATATCCGATTTCATACCCACGATAAAAATGGACAATCATCGAAAGTGGAAAACTGCGGATGTTGTTATGACCGAGCGATGCGTATACAGACGAACCATTCCCTTCACACTCCAAGAAGAACGCCCGGTTTTTTCTCTATTGGAAAGGTAACTATGCGAAACCGCCTGATATCATCATCCGCTGTTGCGTTTTTCGCCAGTGATAGAGATGACCATAGCACTATTTTTCATCCTTCTGGCTTCTCTCTTCTGACTCTAGCATCCCCAGAATATCGAGGTGACGTCGCGCTCGGAAGAATTTCACAGAAAAATCCCGCGAATTAGATAGAAAATTCTGTCAGTTTTTGGCGGATTCTATTGAACAATTGCACAGCTTTACTGTGTGTTTTTAATAGAAAACGTCCAATAGAAACTATTTTACAGAAAAAATCTGTAAAATTTAATCTCTCTACACTTTTTCTGTTGAACATTTTCTATAGAAATCCCTCGCCACAAATTCGCCAATTTTTCGTCACTATTTTTCTTCTCTTTCATTTTTCATTAGAAGAACCAAATAAAAAAATTAGGAAATTTGAGTCGACGAATTGTTATGCACTGTTAGAAATTTCTTGAAATTTCAGTCACAATGTCATATGAATTTTCAATGTTGTGAGTTTCAAATCAATTTTAAATGAAAACGTTCACTAAATTTCTCATTCATTTGTAAATTCAAGAAAATTTGGTTTTTCATGTTAAAGAATCATTGATTTTTCAATAAAAGCTTGAATTTTCAAACTCATCGTAAAAATTGAACATCACAATTGAATTTTCAATAGTTTAAAAATTCAGAGAAGTTACTGCCTGAGTTTTCAAAATTTTCAAGTTTTTTCAGGGCCGTATGGACCTGAAAATCGCGAATTACTTGAATATTCAAGAAATCAACTGATTCGTCAATGAAGAATTCTACAGAAATTTCATGTAACTTTGTCATTGTTAAAAATTTTTTTAAAGCTTTTTCACTTGAAATTTTAAGAGTAATTTCCTAACAGTGTAGAAAAATGTCTCAATGGAATAAATTGAAAATTTTTTCTATAAAATATTGTCCATTGAACATTGCTATTGAACAAAGCTCATGCATAAACTGTGGAATTTTCCAGTAGAATAGGCCGAAAGCTGATAGAAAATCCAATAAAAATCCAATAGAATTTTGCAGCGAATTCGCTACATTTATCAACGAATTTTTTTCTGCCAAACCGTGCTAAAACTCACGCAAATTAAAAATTTCCCTGGTCTATTTTTTCCGGTAATCGTCACGAAGATCCTCCTCCTCTCGCTGTATGAATTATCCCAACGTCTCGTCAAACAGGATTCGCTTTCGCACAAAGATTTATTACTATTTGCATCATTATTATTATTTCAAAATCATAAACATTGGGTAATAATTCTTCATCGCTCGATTCAGAGTTTTGCGGAAAACACCGCAGGTGTACGTAACAAGTCATCGGATAGTATCAAATATCCCCTCAGATACTTCATAACTAATAACACGTGCACACGATAGTTCTTTTGGAGGTATCGAAACATAAAAAATAGTGAATTTTGTTGAGGTGGGGGTCGCTATCAAAATTCAGAGAAGAAAAAAACGGAAATTCGGATGATAGATTTGAATTGGGAGGAAGTGAACGGTAGAATCTTCAACGGACGGGCCTTGAATCCCCACTTGCAGGTGTCCACACGCAGAGCTAAGGTTGTCCCTCTTCTTGACCAGCGGAATAGATATCCCAGACAAGTATCAGTTGAACATTAGCAGGCGAATAGATAGGTTCACCCTTCAGACCCACAATGCGGGTCAGCTCGAGATTTTTCGTTGTTTTTGGTGAGTTTCGACAATTGATTTCAAATAAATGTCTCGGGGAAAAATCAACTTTTATTAAGTAGTGAAGTGGTCTAACGGGTTCAGGAATTTTTGGGTTTTCATGAATGTTTAACAGAATTCCAGTTGAAATAACAGTAGTTTTCGGGAAGTTTAAGTTTAAACGCGGTCATTTCTACTAGAATTGTGGCATATTCTCTAGAATTTTTCAAGTTTTCGATGGAAATTTGAAAAATGAAATGGGCAATCCGTGTAATGCAAATTATATCTTGTTGAAAATTATTTTTTTCAAACATTACTTTCTTGGAAATTAACAATGATGGGATCCGGATAAGTTGATTAGCAATTTTCAGAACAGTGAAATGAAACGGGATTTAGGAGAACGAAAAATTTTCAGATTTTACTGGAAATTCAATTCAAAGCGAAAATTCTCCAATTGAATTTTCACTGAAAACATTCACCTGAATTTGACAGTTTCCATTGATTTCCATGAAATGGTGAATTTTTAATGACAAAATTCATTAAAATTCAGTTCTAAATTCCGCAGAATTTTCAATTAACGAAAAAACCAACAATATATTCACCAGCATATTCCGCTGACTATTCCCTGAAATATTTAATTATCAATAATAAAATTCATTGAAATTCCAGTAGAACTATAACGCAATAAAAAATTCCCGAAGTGAATCGAAAATTCAGTTCTAAATTCCGCAGGATTTTCAAATAACTAAAAATCCAACAATATGTTCACCAGCATATTCCGCTGACTACTCCCCGAAATACTGAATAATCAATAATAAAATTCACTGAAATTCCAGTAGAACTACAACGCGATAAAAATTTCCCCGCAGTAAATCGAAAATTCAGTTTTAAATTCCGCAGAATTCTCAATTAACGAAAACCCCAAAAATATATTCACCAGCACATTCCGCTGACTATTCCCCGAAAAACTGAATAATCAGTAATAAACTTCACTAAAATTCCAGTAGCCCACGCGTCAAAAATTTCCCCGCAGTGATGCAAAACCCTAATCCAAAAATGTTGAGCCTTGAACCCCTGCAATCCCCACAGGCATTCTCCACTTAACCGAAGCCGAGAGCAACGAATTCCCCGACGAACATTCAATAACCCACATAGACGTGCAAAGATTGAGGCCAAGAAGTTGGAAGTCCCATCAATCCCGAGATTCAGGTGACATCGAGGGAGCATTTAAGGTCCAGTGGACAGGAAACGGTGATTTTCGCGGGCACCATCAAGTGCCGCAATCGAGTCTGGAGACGGAGCTGCCCCCGTGGGACTCGCAGCTCCAGACAGTCCACGAGGAGGGTTCAATAGATTCCGACCGATCATCGCCGTCGCCAGTGCTGCAGCCCCCCTTCGAATTCTACTCCTCATCGATCCACGACTTTGCCAATGAAAACCCCATCCCGGAGTCCGCGAACGACGAGGAATCATCGGAAAACAGTTCAACAATAAAAACATTGAGAATCTACGAGATTACAAAATCCAATTCATCATGGGGATTTCGTAATGAGAATGCAATAACAACTGGACGCTCCTTCGTTATATCAGACCCGAGCAGCGAGACAAAGTCCTTTGACTCGCTCAGATCAGCGATCAGAAACAAAAATACAACGAGATTGAACGGTGTCAATCGCGCCAATGATAGTGGTGGGAGTGATGGCGGAGCTAATGGACTGAATGACAGATCGGATGGAATAATACCCAGGACAAATGTAATAAGAGCCAATCCTGGGAAAGCCAATGCACTCAGGGGCCACCGCAAATATCAGTCTAGAGTTGACAGTGACGAAACGTCCGTGAGAAGAAACAGTTGGGGGAATACGCTCAGGCACAATTGGAGGAGGCCGGCTAGTCGGGCCAATCACTTCAGGTTCAGTGGTCAGTACTTTAATAACTATCATTTACCGGCATTTCAGCGGATTATGATGATTGGAGTTGGCTATTTAGTTATTTGTTTCCATCTGTTTTTCTCACTTGACGGGAATTTTTAATTGATCTGTCGATTTTGAAAATTTCATTTCAATTCCATATTTTCTATTGACACGTTTGCTATAGGTATTCCTCCACATGAATTTTCCATTTTTTTTCACTCGATTTGTCCTCTTAATTAAAAAAAATCAAATAAAATACAGAACATTTGGGTCGAGAAATTTCTGTAGAAAATATCTAAAAATATGAGTTGTATACAAAATCCAAGTCTAGTAGAAAAACACAAATGTACGAAATTTTGAAACAAAATCGACCAAAAAATGAAAAAACGAACCAATTGGATTAATTAAATCAAATGAAGTGATTGAACAATTGACCAATTGAGCTAATCAATTAACTCAGGGCTGAATAAAAAATTAGAACGAATGAAAGTCGATCACAATCGACCGAAAATATAATTCCATAAATTGAGGGAAACTATTCGTCGCAGGGTATAGCTAACAAAAGGGGCGAAATAAAGATGAATCATGATAGATAGGCCTGCGGGTCATTTCGATCAACAATCGAATGAACTGACGAGCCAGATGTGAATGTGGGTACCAACGTTGGATTAATATAGCCTCTTCCTATTATTACATTTACGCTCTTTCAATGGCTAATAGATTCCGGTGAGAAAGTCGGCGCGGTACCGGGGGTCCCCGGTCGTGATTACCCAGTGCATCAGGAGCACACCCACCATCAGCTGCGAAATGTTGAGGGCAGGTTCCCATGCCCGAAGGATCCTGTCAAACATTTCTATCGCGCGGATCGCGCGTCTCGCTGTCAGGTAATGACAGGGAGTTTATTTACACCCGGAGAAATGACGCATTTCAATCAAACAAAACTCTTGAAAATTCATAAGCTCATTTATTTATTTCAGTGAAAATGTTTCAATCACGTTATGACGAATGTTAAGAAAATTTTTTAACCGATGACGTTTCTATTTAATGAGAATTTTTTTCATTCAAAATTTAATGAGAATAAAAACGAGAATGATAATCAAGTTTAAGTTGGAATGGGAGCTTTATCACGAGGTATTCAAATGAATTCATTTATTTTATTTAAGGAAAGTTTAACATAAAGTTTTAATAACGAGTTTATTTACACGCAGAGATGACGCATTTCTAGCGAATAAAACTTTATTTGAAATTTATTATTCATTTGAACAATATTTCAGATGGGAATCCGTAAATTCATGCATTTATTTCAGTGAAAATGTTTCAATTACGTGGAATGTTACGAAAATTTTTTACCCAATTAATTTTTATTTAATGAGAATTTTTTTCATTCAATATTTAATGAGACTAAAACCGAGAATGAGAACATTATCACGAGATATTCAAATGAATTAATTTATTTAATTTGAATGAAACCCTTTCTCCAGGTATTAATGAAATTCTTAATGGGTAATTAAAAAAAAAAATCGTACTTATGTCAGACGCATTTTTCAGATATTCTACGTGTGTTTTGGTGGAGAAACGGGAGTCCCTATGGTCTGTCCGAACGGAACACTCTTCAATCAAGAAATCCAAGTCTGCGATTGGTGGTTCAATGTCGTATGTTGATTAATCCCAAGGAAATCCCTTACAAACATGCCAAAAACAAAATCCCCGAAAATTTGAATAATTTCCCTCACTTATTTATAAGAAGTGAATTTTAAAAACCAAGTATAACTTCTATCCGAACGTAATCGGCCTCATTATTCCTGTTTTTTATCAAAATTTCATCGCGTAATTTATTTGAAAAAAATTGGAGAACAATTGTCGCATGTGTAAATCGAATAAACTGATGAGCGAGTGATCTTACGAAAATTTTCTCATCTCTGTAACAAATAAAATGTCGAAAATTTCATACGGAGGACGGGAGCACTTGTCCAACCGCTGTGGAGGGCCATAAAAAATTCCCCCACTGCTTTTTTGATTCATTAGCACAACCCCAAGGATTTCAAACCATCTCCCCCAACGTATTCCAAAATCCTATCTCCAGAGATGTTACGAGCTGGGGGCACAACAGAGGGGGTTAATCTTGTATTTTGTTCCTGAGACCTTAACAGCACACCGACTTTTCTTGCCTCCCACCCACCGGCTTTCGTAATCCCGTATATGTGAATATCTATAATGCATAGTTCAACATCACCCATGCATTCCCCTGTTTGTCATGGGGGTTTGCGTTTCATGCGTTCTCGGGGAAGGGTCGAAATTTCCAGACGAGGGGGCGGTTTATTTTTGGGGGATAACAAAGTGGTTTACTATATCTGACTGGCGATATCGCTTCAAATAGTGGGGGCCTGAATGTAACACGAGTGAGTCACGCCTAAACGGCATTACAAATAGCAGAAGGCACGGAGGGCGGCTATTTATTTACGAATAGACGTTTTGAGAGTGAGATAAGACACTGGGGGCATCCGTACTTTGCAGATTTGATGGTATCGTTCTGGATTGTCGCACCCATGAGATAAGAATTGGCGGGGAATATTTTTGATTCTTCCGCGACACATGGAGAGAACAATTCAATAAAAATTACCAGAACGAAAGCGTTGAAATTACGTTTCAAAACGTAATCCGCGAGCAAAGTAATCGCCAGGTAAATTCTACGATTTGTTCCGTAAAAATTAACCACCCGTCTGATGACTCACCGCTGTGGGGACAAGTCGTTCCGTATAATTTTTCCCCAACGATTGAGAAATTTTACGGAACGGAACGTAGAAATAACTCACCAGCTTCATAAAAATTGTTGAACGTTCAAGAATTTTTGATTTTGGAGGCACAATAAATCGGCAAGTTTCTGTAAGATTTTACTTCTTCGGGAAAAATTACGTGACAATTTCGTAAAAAACGATTCCCCATTTCGGATTACGTGAATTGTTCCGTAATTTTTACTGAATATTCCACCTCGTGCATTGTCAAAAACATTCCATTTTCTTATTGTTCCACTGGGGAATTTTTTCTCAATTCTTTTTAATTTTGTCATTCTTAAACAGCATGAGTGTGTGGAAAAAAGACAAAGGGAATGATGATGAAAAAAATGCGTGTAATATTGACTAGATGTTTTTTAGAGAGGGAGCTCCCCCAGCGGCTTCTGAAGAATGACAATGTACAGGATATGAAGAAGAAAAAAAGGCATCCCCAGTTTAATAAAGTTGGGCGGATGCATTGACTTTTCGACATCGGCTTCTTTATGACGAACCATGCAAAATTGATCTCCAATATGCGACAGATGATTTCGAGAAAAAAAAGTGTAGGAAATTTAGTCAGTCGTAAAGTACGAGTGTTGCATATTGATGATGAGTACAGATACGTTTTTTCGGAATCTTGACTTGGGGGTAGACGGGGATTCATCGGGCGGATCTCCAGAGACAGCGCGGTTTTATCAAGTTCCTGGATTATTGATGTGACTCTTATATATAACGCGAACGAGGGAGGAGAGTATTCGCGAACCGAGCATGTGCTGCCTTGTAAGTTTGAGACAAGGATGCAAAATATTTAGAAGAGTATCCGGTGAAAATTCAACACAATTTTCAACTGGAAGGGTATTTGTGTATAATATTTACTTGTGGCCCTTAATCTGACCCTTGTGACCTTTATTATACCCCTCGTGATCCTATAGAGACCTTGGTGACCCTTATTCAGACCTTTATGACCCTTAATCGAACCCTGTGACCCTTAATTTGACCTTGGTGACCCTTATTCTGACCCTTCTGACCCTTAATCGAACCCTGTGACCCTTGATCTAACCTTGGTGACCCTTATTTTAACCCTTGCGACCCTTAATTGTGGAGTCTTAATTTCGAGTACCAATTTTTTATCACCAGAAGTCGATTTGGATTTTTATAATATAGAGAGATATTCGTTGTAGGATAATTTCCTCTGTAAATTTTTTTAGTTTAACTCAATTTAATTCTCCATTTGGAATCATCAGGAAACATTTTTAAAAATTGGAAAAAAAGAAGTCTGTTTTTGAGGGAAAATGCATGAAATGATTGGAAAATTCATTTTTTTGAGATTACGACCGTCGCTCATAAAATAATTTATAAGCAATGGAAAAACCCAAGAAAATTCTTTACTGAAAATTACCTCCGAAATTGATTGCATCTCGAAACACAAGATTGAGAAGGAGTTAAATTAAATTTACGACAAAAACTGAAGATTTCTCATTATTTATTCATTCCATTCCATTATTTATTCAAGAAGAAAAAGTTAAAAAAAAATTGTGCACTATCATTCAAATAACGCTTTCCTAAACTTCTAAACTAAACTTCTATAAGATTCTACTTATGTTATCGCAATTTATTTCGCCACAAAAAAAATGTTCATAGGCCATCACAACCCAAACACATTGTTACGGAATCGAATGATAGAATCAATCCTCTTCCCCTCCTTTGTAAATTAGAATAAGGTCGATTGTCATTCTCTAATATTTGGGAATAACTTCATGTTGGATTTATTCGCTCCCCGATTGATTCTGAAGAACTGTCAATAAACACGCGGCGGGATTAGCCCCGAGTTATCACTGAATTAAATACACCAGTGTTTAAAGAAAACTCACAGATTCTGCACTCAGAAAATTTATTAATCTCCCCCATCAGCCTCACACATCACCAACAAGTCTAAAATCCTTAATCCACGTCCACTTTCTTCACCCGAGACTTCGACTTCTTCTTAATCACCGCATTCGCCGAGGCCCCAGTGAGTGGATCCCGTGGTTTGAGTCCCGTGGGAAAGGGGACAGCGGTCCTCTCCCCCTGGCTCTGCCGCCTGGCCTTGGCCACCGCCGCGAGTCTCCTCCTCATGGTGATGTTCCCCGAGGGTCTGATGTTAACGATTTTGAAGGGCTTCTCTTCCCTCCCCGTCCCGAAGACGCAGGTCAGGCAGTCTGAGGTGTCGTGGCTCATCGCCTGGTACTTCTCCCCCCCGATCTTCATCTTGGTCTTGTCCCCCAGGTGCAGCACCTGGCCCCTGAGCTCCCGCGGATTCACCGACTTCGGAATCTCGAGGATCCAGAGCTCGTCCTCGGGGTCGACGTCCTCGAGGGTGTAGGTGTGCCTCGACTGAGCCACCGTCACCTGCTCCGTCGCCACGAACTCCTCGAGGTTGTGCGGCCTGTCCACGACCTGGGGGGAGGGCTCCTCCGCCCTCTCCGGCTCCAAACCGCTGGACAAAAACGAATTGGCAGGGGACAGGGTCTCGTCGCTCCTCTCCCGCTCGGTCCTCTTGAGGATACTCTTGCGAATTGGGTCCTGCTCCTGGAGGGGAGTGCTCGTCGCCTTCATCGCCGCTGTGTTTATTGTTATGGACTTGCGACTCCGCTTGTCCTTCGGCTTTGGTGAACTCCTCACGGGGTCTTCCATCAACACCATCGATCTGTTCAGAGCTGTGTTTATCTGGGTCAGGGCGTCCTCTCGATCACTCTGCACCATCGTTTTTGTTTTGTCGGTGTTTTGGAGCAGTCACGTGTGGCACCAGGGTCTCGAGAGGTTAAGGTTTGTGTCGGGGAGGAGAGTCGTACGGACCTGGAGCGGGTTCGGGGGAACGCGCAGAGATGGCGGCAGAATGCTACTTTCGGGATGTTTAGACAGTTTGATTTTTTTTATTTGCTGGCTGGAGTCTTCGGAAAGGGTCAATGCGTGGCGAGGTTTGAGCGATTTTTTGATTATTGAATTAATTGTGAGAGGTCAATATTGCGGTTTAAGAGATTTTAGATGAAGCGAGATGTCAATGTTGGTTGTAGCAATTTTTTAATTTCGCGAAAAAAGTATTTTTTAAGGATATCCAAGTACTTTGGATGCTTAATCTACTTTTGCAATTGAACATCAGAGCTTTCATTTGATTTTTTAATTATTGAATTAATTGTCAGAGGCAAATATTGCGGTTTCAGAGATTTTAGATGAAGCGAGATGTGAATGTTAGTTGTAGCAATTTTTTAATTTCGCGAAAAAAGTATTTTTTTAAGGATATCCAAGTACTTTGGATAGTTTTTCGCCAGTGGAATGCTTAATCTACTTTTGCAGTTGAACATCAGAGCTTTCATTTGAGCCCCATTTAACCCCAAGTTTCCGGACATTTTACGATGGTTTTATTATTTAAACTTTGGAGGTTTGAATTTGAATCCCGATATTGAACCGTTGGAAAACCTTTTAAAAATCGGGAAAAAAATAAAAATTGTACTTTTGGAGGAAGATTGATGAAATAATTTCAAAATTGCTATTGAAAATCACCATCATTTTCTATAACTAATTTGTGAGCAATCAATTCCACTATCAATTCCACTATCAAAATCATTTGGGACATTTTCCACAGGAATTCAACAACACGAATTTTTCCAGTTTTTTTTCATTCTTTCGCTCTCCTCTCTTCATTAAAAAAAAACTAAACAAAGGACTTGGAAAATTCGAGCCGAGGAAATTCTACCGAAAAAACCTCAAGAAATTAGGTTGTACAGAAGTACCGAATTCTGTTGACTTTTTCTGTAAAATATCTTCTATAATTGGCTAATAGAAATTTAAATAGGAGTATCTATGGAATTTTTTCGTACGCAATAACGCCCTGCGATCAATCATCAAAATGAAATTGAGAACAATTACCCAGCAATACTTCCCGCCTGATCTGCAATTTTCGATATTCATACGGTACGCCGAGCCACCCGATACTTCAATTATCAAGAATATTGCTAACAGCTAAGAAGTGGGCTTAGTGTCGCAGTGTCCTATTACCCATTACCCCGTGCAACAGCAAAATTCGATATCTTCCACGGAATAATGGTGTAGCCTGTATCAAAGTAATAACAGATTAAGGTTTAATCAGAGGAGGCTTACACAAACTATTCCCCCCCGGAATCGAATTTTAACAATACAAACAATTCAGCGAGGTAATTGAGCGATCCTTGGAAAATCAATTAACGAGGGGTAATCAAATTGACGGAGCTATGTTAATTAACTGTTACAATTTATTGGGGCGAGAGGGTGCATTCAAACAATGTGAGATTGCATCTGTGATTAATTACGTCGGTCTGGACAATTCATTGGAGTAATAACCGATGAATATAATTCGGTTTGTTTGTTCTGGTGCGCTGTGAAGGTTTGTTTTGTTCTGTTAATTTTTCGCTCTTACACTGACAGAAAAAATTGAAATTCCATGAACCACCAATTTTCAGACGAGTGATTAATTCGGTTTAGCGGGAAAAAATCTTGAAGTTTATTTTAATTTCACTGAAAATGGAATGAAATTCTAAATTTTTGAGCAACAGGAAGACGAGAATTTCATAATTCACTTGAATTTTCATGGAAACGTGAATATTCAGTACCCAATTTACGCCGCATTTTTTCATTTCTCTTAATTTTTATAGAATCATGGAACTAAGATTCACAATTTTAACGATTCTTTAATCAAATTTGGAATTGTTAGTGCAGAATAAATTTTCAACTGTGCATCGCATAGTCAGGCTTAATTCGGGGAAATTTCGTGAACTAGTCTGAAAAAATGAAAATTTTTTTCAGAAAATTATTGGATTATGTCATGACATCCCACAATTTTCAAATTTCCTAGACAATTTGATATGAATATTCAGTATTTGAAGAAAAATATGGGTTCATCTGTTGATAGTTTCCCCCGCAAGCCTGAAACTCAATTAAAAACTCAAAAACATATTTAAAATTCCAGTTTCCGTTGATTTTGCCACAAAATTTCTCATTTTAAACGACGAAATAAATTCCTTGAAATTCAGGGGAGCAATAACGTAATAAGAACATTAAACATTAAACAGTACCTAAAAGTCAATCTACTGAAAAGCGCGAAAACAATTCGATCATATTACTGAACGATATAATTTGGATTTATTATACTATGAGATCACTCTTCCTGTAGAGACCCATTGACGAAACTCCAGTCGAATGTTTACAAAATAATATAAACATCTGATAAAGCCTGGTGAGAAAGAAACCATAAGAAAAAGGCTGTGATCTTTGTAACTGCGATATTCTTTATTCAGTTCTGCGACTGCACTTCTCAGTAAAAGCCAAGTTCAATTGCTCATACATAATTGTCTTTTATTTATTCCCTTGGCTTCCAATAAACCAATACAATTCAAAAATTACCACCAGTGTATTTCATCTTCTCAATGAACATTGCATAAATTTTTAATCCATCTCCTATTACTCAGATTGTCACTAGTGTCATGTCTGAATGTCATCGCGAGATCGTGTCTGTATTTTTTCATCTCCATTATCTAATGAGTCCATCTCATTCAAGGATGTTATTCTTTGATGGGAATGAGCCTGCGGCTGAGCAGTACCAATCACTCTCTGAGAGAAGTCAATGAGTTTTGTGTGGTGAAGTCTGTCTGCACTGTCATTACTCGTCGAGGGAACATCACATTGACAGAAAAAGGTGGAATATGGGTCGATTCTCCTCTTTGTGCCGGTTCAAATGAAGACTGAATTCAATTCCGTTCGTCTTGGGATGAATATTGTTACAGAGTAGTATGTACTTTTGACTTCTGTTCCTTTTGCCTTCGCAGTTTCCAATTAACGGGTGAACATTCTAATTAAACACTTCGACAATTGGAGGGGGTGAAAAGTTTTCATCAAGTTTCTGCTCGCGTGTGGGAGAAATTCATTCTAATCGAATAAAGCGCGTTGAAATTTTTGGATTCATTTCAATAAAATGAAGAAATGTGTGACCTCGACGGAATAAAAACTGCTATTGCCTTCATCATCTATTTGAATTGAACTGAAAGTTGCAATTTCCATTAAGGGCAGACTACTATGAGTTTTAAATGTCTAAAAACGAATAATTAGTGCAAAAAAACTATTTGTTTATTATTCGTTTAGCCCGCAAACGCTTAAAATGTTAAAAATGCTCCAGGGCCTCCAATTTTTGAGCTACAGTGTTTTTTTTTGCGAACGTTTTGGAAAAGTATGTGCAATAACAATTACGAATTAGTTTTTTTAAATTCAACTCCTACACAGCTAGTTTCGTTATTATTTTAATAAAAAATTGCCCCATTCATGTGAAATAGCCCGAAAAATATTTCTGAAAGAATCGAGACTATATTTTTAATATTTTAAGAATCATTTTTCTGCCTATTTTACATGGATGGGGCAAATTTTTATACTAAACAAAATGAAATTAGCTGTATAGGAGAATTTCAAAAAACTAATACGTAATTGTTATTGTAAACATTTTTTCAAAAATTTCGAAAAAAAACTCTGTAGTTAATTAATTAAACTCGTGGTAGTCCCCCCTTAATTTGGCCATGAAATTGTGTTTTTTCATGACAATATTCCCTTAAATCCCGGTAAAAACATAATTTTCATTGAAAATTTCGTGCATCTAAAGAAGTCTTCCCTCGATCTCTTTTTTCCCCACTGTCTCAACGCTCAAAATTTCACGTATAAATTGAATAAATATTTTCACGGTCATTAAATATTACATTACCGCCTGGCATTTCAGGACCTACTCCACTCCAATGGTAAATCATGGTCTCCATTAAACTGTCGTTAGTTCGGCACTTAAATTGTGATTAAAGGTTTCATTCCACAGCGGTTAGTCACGCATTTTCATTCACTCAATAGTCCAACTCTTTGCTGTTCCAGTCGTACGATCTGTATCTCGAGAGCACTGAATTCCCAACAAGTCCAACAAGTTGTTTTATTATTTATCCACGGATATTGAGTGAGCGGTTTATGATTGAAAATTAAGCCCCTAATTTATTCATTTTCGATTACTCCCAGGACATCCCCTTATTTGCCTGTCGAAACATGAAAATTTATTGCTGGTTATAATGAGAGGGTTACAAAGTCAATATTTAACTTCAAAAGTGGAATAAAAAAGTTGGACTGGATGAACCGTTAGAAAAAAGGCGCTGGGCCCATTGAAATGCCGAAAAATTCCTCTCTCACTATTTGGTGGCTCTATTTTTTTTTCCTCCCGAAACTCGTAACAAGGGCGGACACAGTAGGAGAGAACGTGGAATGATTTAGCTACTGTTAATGAGGCTTTCTAACTATTAATGCCGTTCGTTAACTATTAGCGAATGGCGTTAATAGTTAAGAAGCCTCGTTAACAGGAACTCAATCGTCGAATCACTGCAGGCGACTGATGCGGTAGTTAGATGTGAATTGTATTATAATATAACAAAGAAGTTTGTTCTGTGATATTTTAATATTACAAAGAACTTTGTTGTATTATAATAGAATTTCTTCTTCGTTATATGTATTATATTTAGAATTTCAGCGATACTTCTTCAAAATAAGGGTATTGAGAAAACTGGAAAAAAATCATGAACATTCAGCGTCAAATTACATTTTGCGCAGATTTTTTTTTTTTAAAGTTCATTGTTTATGAATAAATAATTGAAGTTGTTTAGACTGATTTCTGGTAAAATTATGAATATGAATAAATTTGTTACGATTCCGAACAAATGATTTTTATGGTGGAAAATTGATTGTTTATAAATTATTTATAGAA